AGAGTAGCACCAGTGTTTTTGTACCACTCTTAATTTTTATTCGATCCCTGCTTGGAGGACTTCCCTAGGGAGGGAACCCTAATAAAAATTGTATGGTTAATTTGCTTAACGACGTGTTTTGGGTATCATCCAAACCATTTGTGGAATAGTTCAATGATTTGGGTTATCGTTCGTTTATGGTTATTTTTTATTAGGGAACTATTGGCCTGGCATACACCATTTTTTATTTTTAGGTTAGCCAGAGGAAAATAATAAACAACTTTACACGGCGTTGCCCCCGCTAGTGTGCGTGCGTTAAACGTCACTAATCTCTATATTTGTTTGTTTCAGGTTTCACTTCTAGGTCAAGAGTTCTTCTAGGAGCTTAGACAGGGCAAGTCAATTGATCAAGTCAGTTGAATTCAACTGACTTAAATGCGAATTGAACGTGTAAACCATGCCATTCAACTGACTTGATCAACTCACTTGAATTGAAAAAAGTTGAACCAGGCTAAACTTTTCAAGCCAATTGAATTAAACTGAGTTGATCATTTCACTTGCCTAGTCCAAACTAGAAATACTCAGAGGGAGAGATGGGCGGAGAAAACAAAATACAATTCAGCAGCAGGGATTTGTACCTAAATAATCTTGCAACTCTGGCTAGAAGCTAGCATTTCACATGACTGTTACTTTTGATTCGATTTATTGCGCATTTTGCACCTTACTGGACTCCGCACTTTGAAAGTGCGGGGAGGAAATAAGTGCCGGCGTATGACAGATAGAGTTGTCAAAGTGACAGTTATGCTTATCCGAAGTGAATACAAAAACATTGGCTTTTGATTGTCTGTCCGAGTCACAAAACACACTCTCATTGCATTCTACTCGAAACACGTGTAAAAATAATTTTGCAAAATATTTGCAATTTTGCAAAATATTTGCAATTTTGCAAACAATTCTAAATTACTTATTTGTGAACAACAGGGGGTAAGTCACTCTGCCACCTTGTGACTGTGCTGATTGTGTTTCTTGTGTGTTTTTGGGTGTTTCAGGGTGTTTCTGTGTCGAATGAGCTGTCAAAACGTCAAGCGGCAACATACAATGTTTACTGGCAACCATGACTTCCACATCGCTGAAAATGACAGATCCCCCTGCGATCGTCGTTGTTTATTGGCGTTGACGGTGACTGTATACAGCTATAGCTCTTTACTCCTATGGTAAAATCCTGTAAAATCCAATTGGCAAATCAAAGTTGGCACTCGTGGAGAATAGAAGAACTATGAGAGTGATGATGGTTTCAAAATTTTACACGGTGAGGTATACGAATGCAATCTTAAAAAGCTTTTATTTTGCAAATGGAACATTTTATTTAAATCTGGTTGATGCTATGTTAGTAGAAAACTTAAGGACTACTCAATAGACAAATAATACAGAAAAATTAATTTAATTTCAGATTTTTAGGTGTACACATAGATTTGAGCTTTTCTACCACTGTAGCAGCAACCAGAATAAAATAAAATGTTCCATTTGCAAAATAAAAGCATTTTAAGATTGCATTCGTATACTTCCCCGTGGAAAATTTTGAAACCATCATCACTGTTATAGTTCTTCTATTCTCCACGAGTGCCAACTTTGATTTGCCAATAAGCAAACGACAGTCTGTGCGTGATACATGGCGGAATTGATGCACATCTTCGCACCGGACCAGATCGTGGCCAAGTCCCGTTTCTGGTACTCCTGCGGCAGCTGCGTAAGTTCAAGAAGGCCACCGGTGAGATTGTCTCGGTCAAGCGTATCCTGGAGAAAACTCCGCTGCGCGTGAAAAACTTCGGCATCTGGCTGCGCTACGATTCCCGTTCCGGTACCCACAACATGTGCCGCGAGTATCGTGATCTGACCGTTGGAGGTGCTGTCACGCAGTGCTATAGCGATATGGCTTCGCACCACCGTGCCCGTGCCCACTCCATTCAGGTGAGTTGCTTTTTGGTAGTATTGACCCGGAAAGAATCACTGATGCGAATGTTTTCCCAACAGATCATCAAGGTCCAGGTCAAGGTCGAATCGGTTGAGGCCTCCAAGACCCGTCGTGCTCACATCAAGCAGTTCCACGACTCGAAGATCCGCTTCCCGCTGGTGCAAAGATACCACCACAAGCGCTACAGGAAGCTGTTCTCTTTCCGCCGACCGGATACTTACTATCAGTAAACCAGGAGCCGCCGTTCATGTACTGTTAATTTCACTCTTTTTTAGGGAGTAAAAATGATGAAGATCCGTAAGACACCATATGAACATTCTTCGTGATTCGTTGAGAAAGAAAATCCGTGAGTGGAATAAAAAGTGGATCCTACTGGTTGGAGGAAGTTGGTTCAATGCTTCCCTTGAGAACAACTATTTTGTGAAGATGGATGAGTTTGAATTGGCGATTTCATGCCGCATTAAATTTAGCAATGACGGAAATTCGTAATTGAGTAATGCGGTGTGAACATTTCAAAAGGGCCGAATTGCTTTTGTAAACAATGGCTTTAGACGTCGATTACTCGCGAATGAAAGAAAGCTCACAGCTGGTAAACTTCGCCCCGTACTAAGTGTATAAGACTGGTAGTTCTCTACGGGCACGAGTCTCTTGAAACGGATTTCCCATACAACGGAATAGAGAAAGGGGTGATCGACAAATTTGATTGTAATTTATGTAATCTACGATACCCTGCTGGTAGAACCTTTTATCAAGTCATGGAAAATACATCATACAATACTTTAAGGTCCAGCGGTGCTCAGCTGAAGGCATATGGTGGGCCATATTGCAAGTTTCTAAGTAAAGTGTCTTTAGGGCTATTTGTGATTATAGGTACTATTTTTAATAATATTAGACGGTTTGGTTACCAATAATTTTTATTTTTTAAAAGCATAACACCGAAATTAAAAACGCAATGTATTAAAATATGATAAGGTTTCTTCAGACAAAAACCCGCTGCTCGTTGGACCCTCAACGTGCGTGACGTAGTTGTCTATGTCCAGCTCTATTTCAGGGCTCAAGTTGACCGCACCGGTAGATTCGATAGAGTAAAAATTACCCAACAACCATATGCCCTTTTTCTGAACACCTGCAGAGCAATTCAGCGGTACGCTGGTCATCGGGCAGCTGCGTATTTTCCCTACAATTTTGTCTTAACTATTTAAACCGAATTTAAAAACAATCACCCATATTATTGTTTTCGGTCGAACCATACAAATTTTGTATTGTTCGAACGGTTTAAACGAAATCAAGAATATGGGTGAATAAGTAAACTTTACCTGTCTTATATTTAAAGTTTGTGACATGGCACAGAACTTTTCCGGCAAGCACCACCCAATCTCCTACCGATACCTGCTGCAATGTTGCATTCCGTACCATGGGTGTTGGTTCATTCGATCGTAGTTGCCGGAAGCGCTGTAGCCGATCACTTGACCGTTTAAGTCGGCCCGATGACAGCAACCAGATCACGAACGATTTTTTTATATTTAGAACTTTTCCGTTTACATGCATCCGAAAGGTGTGAGCCGTGCCATCAGGAACGTGGTGTCGCATCAGCTCCACGGCTTCTTCTTTGCTGAATACGTCCTGCACGTTCTCGGCGGTTATCAGCTCCGGTTTTGCTTCCATGTCAATGAATGAAGGCTCACATTCGTGTTCGATATTATCTAAAATTAAATATTAAAAATTATACAACTGTAATTTTTTTTTCAGTTTTAATCATGTACCTTCCGTGTTTTTGGAATCATCGGAATTGTTTAGAGATCCGAGTGCCTGGCCGACTGCGACAAATTCAAATTTTGTGGATTTATGTTTTCCGTTTATACTTTCTTTGAAATCAATATCGTCCTCACTGCATCCTAGTGAAAGCAATAATTGCGTGGCGCTATTTTCGGCTTTGTGGATCGCCGCCACTATTTCGAAGTCGGTTGGCAAGTGCGTAGGATGCGCCTTTTCAGCTTTAGCGTCCTGTTTTCTCATAGTGGGAAACGTGAGCGACTTGTTCCGATGTGTAATGAGCAACTTCATGTTCACTTTACGGATTCTTTGTTCGACCTCTTTGATGGTGAAGTTAACCGCCGTGTGGTTAACAGAGGTCATGGAACGAAGTTCTCTAAACGCACTTTCACATGGTTGACTAGAAAGATGGTTCACGATGAATTGCTCGGGACTCTCGCGCATGTGGACTATATGTTGTATTAGTCCATGAGCATTTAGCTCCAAAGAAATATATGCGTTAGAGGTGGGACACTGCTGAAATGTTGTTGTTTGTTTGTAGCTCAACCAACGCCAGGCCCGAAGTAACAGTAACGATGTCCTGAAATGAGTGAAGAGATGTGAACGTTTGCGAAAGCCAATGTATTTTAGGAATAGCAAAATAACAAAAATATGTTTTGTCGTACATGGATGGTCCTAATGTACCAGTTGATTGGATTCGGATACACAAGAGGGAACACTCAAGTTTTTTTAAACGGGTTTTTACGTTGTCACATTGTCCGTTTTGAGTCATAGATAATCAAATGGCCTCGCAAATGGCATACATACCCCCATTTAAAAAAAGACCTGAGTGTATTTGTGGTTTGTAGGGTTGATGCATATATTATTTCACGCTCTAAGGGGGGAGGGGTGGTCTAAGATTGTATGACAAGCAATGCATTAGGTTTAGGAAAAACGTCACGAAAGGGGGGGGGATTTGACAGGGCCCAGTATAAAATCCCGCCACATCCCAGCCAGCACCCGAGTGATGAATGGATTGGTGAGGGACGGGGGTTAGTACTTACCACACCGAAACAACCCGATCAACGGGCACCACACACTAAGATTTTTTCGCCGAAATGGGCACCACCGAGCAGCTCGGCATTTTATTTTGCTGGATCTCAGTGAAAAACTTGCCGAGATTCAGCTAACAAACGGGAATTTTGCCGAGATCTCAGTTAACAAACATATTTTTTGCTGAATTTCCAGCAAAATAAAATGCCGAGCTGTTCGGTGGTGCCCATCTCGGCAAAAAAATCTAAGTGTGCATGTTCTCATCGGTAAAAGCGATGTATATGTTCCTCATCATCTCCAAATATATGGCTGTTCCCATGCTTCCAGCGACGGTCTGCTTCAAATGCTGGATTAAATCCGTAGCCATCAGCTTCAGTGAGGGATCAAATTTCATTTTGTCGTTTGGGTTTATATCTGATGGATTTAATCGATGAATTCCTTTGCAGCCTTGCTGGATCATTTCATTCACAACGGCGACCGATACGACGAATTTACCTGCAAGTGATGTACAATGCGATATCACATCTTTTCATACCTATTAATATGAATTAAACGTTTTACCTAAACGCATGTGTCGCTTCGGGTCTAGCAAAGCGTGACGTAATTTGTTGACGAGGTGTACCGTATCTTGTATACATACTGGTTCACCGGTGAGGTCAGCGGCAAAATGGGGCCCATACACCTTACTAGCAAAGGGACTAGGTATCCCTGACCTTTCCTTCATCGCCTTCAACAGTCGTGTATCTCCATCTGATGAGATGCTGACCACCGATATTCCTACTTTTTGTAATTCGGCTTCAACAAAAGTCCACCGCGAAATCACGTCTGTGTATGTAAATCGATTGTCACTGCACATGTAGAATATACATATTGGTGAAGCACCAACAGCCATAGGTAGAGCCATAATCACATACAAGTATTCTCCGACATGGTAGGTTTGCATGTCATTAACCATTTTGATTAGTGTAGTGGCCTTGAGCACATCCTTGGATGGCATTCCATGAACGTCAAATGGTGCTACCAAGCCTCTCAACGAGTCAGACCGTGGATCGTATTCTATATCTGGGGACACTGCAGTCCCGTCTTCGCTTAATGCTACAATCAACGGATATTGATGAGCATTAAGATATCTCAGTAGGGACTGTACCATGATCGTTGCCTCCTGCGTTTCTGACGTATGGTTCACAATGTGCCTCTTCACTGTTTTAAGGCTAGGTAATTTCATATTCGCTTGTCTGAATAAATAGTTTGTATTTCCTCCCGTTATGAGATCATACGCCGCCGAGTCCAACTCCGTGGCAGTGTAGCGTATTCCTCTTTGCCTGTGTAGGAGAGATCGGTGATTGATTTCGTTGCTAATGTCTAGGAGAGGTCTTCGGTCTCCAGGTCGCTCGTCTACCCTACTTTTAAGTGATGTTCCCAAACCTAAACGTTTCGAATTGTCTATGAAAAGAAAACAAATGTTTGCGAATGAAAATTGTATTATTTTTTAAGTTGACTAAATTCTTATTCAATCAATGTACAAAGGATCTTTGTCACTATTTTCGTCAGGATCTTCGTTTAGTGCTTCTATGTAGTATTTTATAACAGTCACTAACGGTAGAAATAATTGATCGTTAGATCATCGAAATTTAGTGTTGAAATTTTATTCTTACCTTGGGTAAGCGGATCTGTGACTTCTGATATGTTCTTAGCGGAGTTATCAGAGCTGTCTTCAGAGATATCGTCATATTTGTCCTCAGGGCTGTACTCTAGGATGTCTTCGTCCAGAGGATTATCCTCAGGATTACTGTCCAAAAATTCTATAGAAACTAACAAGTTGCGAGAATAGAAAAAAATCCATTTTTAACTAATTTTTCTCTCTTCTGCATACAGGTATTCCACTATAGACGCCCACATGCATCAGGAACAATTTATTACCAAATATATTTATTTTATTATTACCTTGGGCAAGAGCATCGTTGTCTGCAGCCATGTCGTTAGCAGGGTCCTTATCGATGTGCTCATAGCTATAGCTGGGTTTATCTTCAGATATACCGTCCGAGTTGTCCTCAGGACAGTACTCAATGATGTCCTCAGGGATGTCCTCGAGAGGGTCCTCAGGATTATTCTTCAAAAATTCGACAGAAACTAAACAGTTGTGAAAATAGAATAATAATTTAATATATAAATATGATTTCCAACGATATGCTTAAACAGTACAAGACAAAAGTATATGACCTGATTTTTTTTCTTCCCAGCACTTGCTATATTTTTTTTTTTGAATTATGAAATTATTAGATGTTGTAATGATTATTAGTAATTGTAGGTTACACGAAGTGGTTGCGCTGATTGTGACGCTCTGAAAGTGAAATTGACAGGTTTTATGGGTGAAACACATTTTTCAACCTCTTCTTGTATGTTACAGGCATTTCTATTCTATACCTCAGAAAAATATGTTTTTGTAGAAAAGTGAGACGAAGCAACCCTGCTTCCTAGAAAAGTGGAGTTACAATTCTTACTTTACTGAAATTTTGACAGTTGGTTGACCAACTACTGAGCAATTATCCACTTTGTCAAGCAGTTTTGGTGTGACTTTCTACCAGCGATTTCACAAAACTGGACTAAAAAATTACTATTTTTTTATGAAATGCACACATTTTGACTACTTTTCTCGTGGTTCTAGAAGAACCATATATCAGCTGATATACTTACATTGCATCATGAAATCTTCATCTTCGTCAGGTTCGGTAGCATTTGTCGACTCAAGCTTGAGGTTGGCAACCAACGGAGACGGTATTGTTGATGAACATTGAGTCTCGGTGAAATGAGTCGTTTCACCATTTTGCTGATGGTCGCTCTCGATCCCGATCGTGTTCTCTATATCGCCCATTTCAATTAGAGGAAGCTTCCTCGGAGGAGGTGAAGCTTCTAGGCAAGCGACATCTGACGAAAGGCGTTTGATGACTTCTGATGCCAGTGAATCATGCAGCTTAGCAACATGCCGCGTGAAACTAAAGATGTTCCAGTTCTCAGAGGCATCGGCGATGGCTGTTAGCTTTGTGGTCTGCCCGACCAACGTGCACAATGGACATGTTATGTCAGCTCTGAACTGTCCTGAGCTTGAAACCGTTGCGATCGAAATTTTCAAGTTGGACATAAACTCCTGGAGGTTGAGGCGATATTTCCTAAGAATAAATTAGTATTTAAAAAAACAAAACGAAATTCAAACTTGTAATATGTAAAAAAAAAGCTTTAAGTAATGAAATATGAAGAATAAATATATTCTGAAAAAATCATACAAAAATGCAAGAAACGTCATACAATATAGTATAGTATTAAATACATAATTGGATGTGATTACTTAAGATTAAGACATACGGATTAGAAAAATGTGCCGAAATCTTGAGCCGAAGTCTGTCAAGCTCATCGGTAGCGGACTCGTGTCTGAACTGTCCATGTGAACCTTTCCCGATTTTCATCACCGGACGGATAAACGTCTTGACCCCATGAGTTTGGATGATGTTCGCTAAGTCCATTAGACATAAAATCTCCCCCTCGAGGAATTTAAATTGATGCGGTCGGCCTGCAAACCGCCCATACACGCTTTCAAGCGAGGGACCACCAGCATGCGCTTTTGCGATTACATCCTCTGCCATCTCTCGCAGATCTTGTTCGACAAGCATTATCTCTTTCCTGGTCAATCTACCAAGCGACTGATTGCATAGGTTACACATGCTCAATATAGTTTTTATATGAGTATGAATGCTTCCATACATTCCTTCCAGTTTTTGCCAGAAGTAATCCTGCAATAAAATTCGGTGTTAACTAAACAATTAAAAATGCAGGTAAAAATGCTAAATAAAAACTTACCTCGTCCATGATGAACTGTAATAATATCACGAAAATAAATTTACAAATTTTAAAAACAACCCAGGAAATAACCGCAGAATACAGATTAAAATATACGGTAAGTAGGGTAATAAGCTATATAAAAACCTACAGCAAAAAAATCGCTGATATCCTGGGTCACATAAATAAACCAAGCGTTCTAAATAATTTGGCAGGTTAGTTTGGTTTGTTTACTCATTTGAGAGGTTCAGATCAATAAAAAGCAGATCATACTGTCAAAAATGAATGATAAAATCAGATCATGGATTGGTCTATTATAAACAACATATGATGTAAACATTCTTGGAAGTGGTGCCAGGATTGATGAAAAACTATCCGTTATGTGGAGACTGCCTGGGTGGCAAGGTGTTTGGAGTGTGTCGGAGTGTGTTTTTGTGGGTGTTAACACAAGGTGGCAGAGTGACTTACCCCCTGGTGAACAATTATTGTGTGTTGCAGGATAATTTCTCAATATGGGATTATACGATTTGCTTTTTTTTATGGCCGTACGACTGCGCCCATTTATTTAACACACGGCGGCTATTTATCCAGGATTTGCTCCTCAAGCCGCTACCATAAAATACTATCTAAGTTACACACCTGTGTATAATCCTTATGGGTGGAGTTGCATCGCCCTTATGAGCGGCGCGTTTTGACCGTCACCAAATGAGAATTTAACATAAGCGCGACAATATATGGTTTTCCAAGTATTAAGTAGATTGAAAATGATTTTGAGACGTGTTTAAATTCAAATGGTACACCATTTTTGTTTCCAAATGTGTTAAACTCAATAGCGTTCTAGGCGTGAAATAACCAAAAAGTTCGTTGTTTTTCGCTCGGTTTTTCGTCAGCGTACCATCAAAGTGCGACTCAAAATATTCCCAAAAATCCAGTCACCACTGCAACAGACAATACTGTATTATTTTTCTCCGTGCACCCTGAAATGTTTCAAACAGCCCGAACTTTTTTGCAGGCACCAACTCGACACCTACTATGCCGCGCTGCCAACCTAATGAAGCAAAACCCGAAGAGAACTGTCACGCCACACAAATCTGACGTTTCATCATCGGTTGTTCCCGAAGTACCGAAACTGAGATGAGCTTGCAATAATTTGGACGGCAATCAACGAAACAGTGGCCGCACAAAAGTCCGTAGGAATCGTGTAAAATCGTTTCATTTTGTTGAACTGCTGTGGTCAACTTCAGCAAAATGACCAACTCTTCCAAGGTGAGTGGAAATTATCGCTTGATCTCGGTAGTTCTGCGTAGAATTGCGTGTTTACTGTTGAGTTGGTTTTCTTTGTTATGGTTATGTTACATGGCGTTTTCTTTTGCTTCGTAGATGGAAGTGGATACCCAGAAGGGGGAAGGTTTCCGGTCGTACTACATCCAAAAGATCGAGGAGCTGCAGTTGATTGTAGCCGAGAAGAACCAGAACCTACGCCGTCTGCAGGCCCAACGCAATGAGCTGAATGCCAAGGTCCGTATGCTGCGGGAGGAGTTGCAGCTGCTTCAGGAACAGGGTAGCTACGTGGGAGAGGTGGTGAAGCCCATGGACAAAAAGAAGGTCCTGGTCAAGGTGCATCCGGAGGGTAAGTTTGTGGTTGACATCGATAAGAACATTGATATCAATGATGTGACTCCGAACTGTCGAGTTGCGCTGCGGAATGAAAGCTACACGCTACACAAGATCCTGCCGAACAAGGTCGATCCACTGGTGTCGCTGATGATGGTGGAGAAGGTTCCGGATTCGACTTACGAGATGGTCGGTGGGTTGGATAAGCAAATTAAGGAGATCAAGGAGGTGATTGAGCTGCCGGTGAAGCATCCGGAACTGTTTGATGCGTTGGGTATTGCTCAGCCGAAAGGAGTGCTGCTGTATGGACCGCCCGGAACCGGGAAGACACTGCTAGCTAGGGCTGTGGCGCATCATACCGAGTGTACGTTCATTCGCGTTTCTGGATCGGAGCTGGTGCAGAAGTTTATCGGTGAAGGATCTCGAATGGTGCGGGAGCTGTTTGTGATGGCGAGGTAAGAGTTTTAGAAGGTGGAGTGTTTGAGTTGGAAATTGAGAATGGTTTTTGTTGTTTGCAGAGAGCACGCTCCATCTATCATCTTCATGGACGAAATCGATTCCATCGGGTCGTCCCGTATCGAGAGCGGCAGCGGAGGTGATTCTGAAGTGCAGCGTACGATGTTGGAACTACTGAATCAGCTGGACGGTTTCGAAGCAACCAAGAACATCAAGGTCATCATGGCTACCAATCGTATTGACATCCTGGATCCGGCTCTACTGCGTCCCGGTCGTATCGATCGTAAGATTGAATTTCCACCACCAAACGAGGAAGCTCGGTTGGACATTCTGAAGATTCACTCGCGAAAGATGAACCTGACGCGTGGTATCAACCTGCGCAAGATTGCCGAACTGATGCCGGGTGCTTCCGGAGCAGAGGTGAAGGGCGTCTGTACCGAGGCGGGAATGTACGCTCTGCGGGAACGTCGCGTCCACGTCACTCAGGAGGACTTCGAGATGGCCGTCGCCAAGGTGATGCAGAAGGACTCCGAGAAGAATATGTCGATCAAGAAGCTCTGGAAGTAGGTCGTCCTTCGATGAACTTTAATTAGAGAATATGTGTAAGCAACCATTTTTTTTCGAGACTATCTATAATACTGCTTAAACTTACTAATAAACTGTGAAAATAATGAGGTTTTCTGATTGATCTAATCCGAAAAAGCCTGATTTTGTAGAGCTAGGCAAATAGTGGCAAAAATAGTGTCCTCACTATTTGCACGGTCGTTCAGACCGACTCAAAAGTGAATTGAATTTTCCAGGAAAAATTTCATAGTCATAGTCTATTGGTATACTCCTAGAGTGAGTAAAATTTGCATGGATTTTCCTCATATTCGAGAAGTTTTTGCTAAAGCCCTCTAGTTAAAGTATGGACGACTATCACCACAAAACTGAAAAAAAGGGTGCATTTTGACGGTTCGATTGGAACAACTTTTGACAGACGTCCACGGCTTTTACCCGGAAAATTCAACTCACTTAAGAGTACACAATACAGCACAATACCACTAACTCAGAGAGTAAGTCACTGTTACTCATTCGTAGAATTTTTCAAAAAGCATAGGTTACTCATGCGCTAAGTGACCTACGGTTTTAGAAATGTCCCCAGACACGGCAAATTAATTTAACTCATATTGGGATATCGTTCACTCAAATTCAATAGATATGAGTAGCTTCTTTTGTCGTTTACAAAAGAGTAAAAGTGGCTCACAATCTAAAAAGATTCGTTTTCATTGAGGTCTATGCCCTACACGCTATTTCAAAACTACCCAAATATGGGTAGAGTCCACCCAGATCGGTGAAAACTGATCCTATCCAAAACTGGGTAAACTGTGTTGGTATTGATAAGTTGACAAGTGAACAACATAGACATGAATCAGATCGACGTTGTTTATTTGGTAGCTTGCCACTCCCAACACAGTTTACCTTTTTTTGGGTAGGTTCAGTTTTGACCGATCTGGGTGGATTCTACCCAAATTTAGTGAGTTTTAAAATAGCGTGTATGCTTATGGACTGAGAAATTTTTTCCTCAAATATGAGTAATGTCACTCACATTGAGTGATATTTGAGTGACATTTTACTCATATTTTAGGCTCTGAACCATTTGGTGGATTATTTTAACTTTTGGTTAAAATTTGACAGATGGAAAGTTATCGATTAACCCTGCTATTCGAGCGTGGTTATTTCTGACAGACAAGAAGTTAAATGTTGACAACCGTGGCTGAGTTTTTCTCGAAAACCGGTCGATCGACAGCACAGGGATTTTCGAACATCAAGAATAACTTTCGAAATGTCACTTTTAACCACGAGTTAAATTTAACTCGGCAAATGGTTCACAGCCTTAGTAAACATTTACTCAGTCTTTGAGCAACTTAAATTTACACGCTATTTCAAAACCCCCTAAATTTGGGTAGAATCCACCGAGATTGGTCAAAACTGAACCTACCCAAAATTGGGTAAGCTATGTTGGGAGTGACTAGATGACAAATTAACAAAGTTGATCGGATTCATGTCGATGTTGTCCATTTGTCAACTTGTCACTTCCAACATAGTTTGCCCATTTTTGGGTAGATTCAACTTTGATCGATCTTGGTAGATTCTACCCAAATTTAGGGAGTTTCGAAATAGCGTGCAGTGCTTTAAAAAGAAACTTTTGTAAGCGCTACCTGGTATTTGAAACTATAGCTGAACATTTTCCGAAAATGAAAAAAAAAGATAAATGTTGGTTAATTTTCAACAACCGTGAAGGACTGACAGCACCATTCCTCCGCAGACAGCAACAAACTTGTTTTGTTTTGAAAATCCTTGTTTTGTGGTGTTCGATTCACATCGCGCGCAATGTCCGTTACTTTGCAGATCCGATAAAATGAGTACATTTTCTGGATTTTTCCCGGAAATCCCGGGCATTTCTGCCGACCGTTTCCTGGAAGTGAACCGTTCCGAATCGCGAGTGTTCTTCCTCTCTCACTGTCACATGGACCACATGCAGGGACTTCAGCTACCGGATCCGCTTCCGGGACCACTGTACACCAGTCCCATATCGGCAGTCTTTCTGAGGCATCGTTTCCCTCAGGTGGTCGAAAACGTTCGGCCGATTGAAATCGGAGGTGAGTCAAAATCAAACTTACTTGGGTTTCCCGTTAACAGCCTATCTTCCCCCCTACCCAGAAACCCTGTCAATCCAACTGAACTCGACCGAGCTACACGTCACCGCCATTCCAGCTGGGCACTGTCCCGGTTCGATCATGTTCCTGTTCGAAAACGACCACAAAAGTCTCTACACCGGTGACTTCCGGCTGTCACCGAAAGATCTCCGTAACATCCTCCCCTTGAGGGACCTCACACCGGACATAGTCTATCTGGACACGACATTCTTCCTCCGTCAGTATCGCTATTTCCCTCCCCAGTCGGAGAGTCTTACCAAAATCGCCTCCCTGTCCCAGGAGTGGCTGGCACTTAACCCGCAAAACGCAATTACCATCAAACTCCCTGCCCTCTACGGTTCGGAATTTCTTTTCATGGAACTTTCGCGCTCTCTTGGTCAGAAGATCCACGTAAAGCGGGAAGAACTCCAGAGCTACCGCTTCCTCGCAAGCTTGGACGACGTCGTTACGGCCGACGGTGCAAGTGACACTCGGATCCATGCCTGCGATCGCCATGGGAAGTTGGCGTGCCGACCGGAACTGGATGGTAAGTTCATCCGTGTGATACGGCCATCGGCCCTGCGGTGGCGAGGACTGAAGCCAGGGGACGCCATTTGGCGAAGATTGGGAGGGGACATCAACCGGGAGGAGTTTTCAGTTTGCTACTCGAACCATGCCAGTTACGATGAGTTGGAGGACTTTTTACGTTATCTGCGCCCGAAGGCGGTTCGGCTCAATGTGGTGTGGAAGGACGATCCGGGCGGGGCTCAGATGAAGGGCTTGCTGAAGGAGGTTTGTCCGTGGATCGGTCGGGAGGAGGGCGCTGACAAGAGTGTGGGTAGTTCTTCGGGGGAAGCGCTGAAGTTCGACGGTATTGTGTACCAACGAAAGGGGAGCATGAGGAGGAGGAGGAGTCAGCAGAAGCTGTTCTCCGACGAGGAAAGTGGCGACGAAGAAGCTGCGATAGAACATTTGCCCAAGAGGGTTCGTTAAGGAGATAAGGAGATGATAGTAACTGAAACAAATGACTTGGTGATTATTCAGATGACATTCCAACAACTTTCATCGATAAAGGCACGTGAAACAGCAAGCCACCACCGAGCGTTGGTTGCGCTTGACTTCTGCTTCTTGTTCGCATTTCAAGCTTATTACGTAGCGCATATTAGCTTATTGCGTGCTCTCAACTTAGTGCTCTAAATGCACTTCTACAGTTATTAATTGAGAGCTCTCGATGCCAATACCAATGCATGAATTTGTATATTGTATGACAAGCACAATGATACTCTATGCCCAGGGAAGTCGAGAAAATTTCCAACCCGAAGGATTCCCTCGACCGGACCGGGAATCGAATCCGCCGCTTCCGGCTTGGTAATACCGTGCCTACCGCTTGAAACTAACCTAAAATATGGTGTGGAAATTTTTTTTTTTTTTTCCTTTGGTTTGTTTTTTTCCGTCGATCTTGTTTTCCGTGCTGAACACCAATGCTACCGACGTGCCAGGAAGGCAGCTCCCACACCTGGACCCTACCTATCGACCCATCAACTCATGAACCGGGGACCAACGGCTTTACTTCCCATCCGAAGGAAGGCGTGATCAGTGATGTTATGCCTCAGAACATCCCGGCGGCGCCGACTGGGATTGAACCCAGGCCTTCTGGGGTGAGAGGTAATCACGCTTACCACTACACCACCGGCGCCGTTGGTGTGGAAAATATAGGGTTTTAATATTGTAACATTAAGTTGAAATGAACAATCGCGCCTAATGAAGGGTCGCAATGTTGTTCCCCGTAATGATCAAGTAAACTGGGAGCCAACAGCGCGGTGCGTGTTATGAAGGAACCACCGACAAACCGACATGAAACTTAAACTTATCTCTTGATCGAGAATCCATAACAACGGCGTATTCAAATGTGCAGCGATCCCATCTGTCAAAACCATAGAAGTTTGTTATCTAGATAAAAATAATTTGCCCGAAATAGATTAGACACGAACCAACTCATACATTTTGTATGCGTGTTCGTGGCTAGGATACACAATTTTGGCGAACATGGCGACAGATGTCAGTGTTGTGCTTTGATCATAAATTTGATGATACTTTGTATGGTCATTCATGTCGGTTTGTAGGTGAAGGAACTCGACCGTCTACTCAAGAAAAAAAAGAACCGCTGACTGCCAAAAGGTCATTTGACCGTTTCAAACCCATTCTGCTGACTCATTTTGACCCCAACAAGGGAATCGTCGGGGTTGGAGAAACCTCCAAGAACGGCTTCGGTGCCTGTAACGCTACATCGCGTCTCCAACGGCTCCGTCAAAGCCGCTGCTCACGCTTTGAGATCACTGACCCCAGCAGAAGAAAACTACGGTCAGTTACCCGAGTAGTTCTTAACCTAAAACACAACCAAAAATGCAGTGTTTGGAAATCTGTCAACATGCCATTGAACTACCGTGTGTCAGGTTCGTAACTGGTCATGAATAGATATTCACAAATGAGTGAAGTGTCAGACACCTTTGCCGAATAAGAGTATTCAGTTTTGTAGCACCAAATGAATGAACGAAACGAAGAACGATGGTTGCACAAAAAAAACGATCTCAACAGTTCACCGAATAATGCGTTCAATGATTGTATACAACTTTGAACTGCACATATCTATGTCTACCGCACAACATTGACGTACAGATCCGTACAAAGCAGAGGATGATACATAAGGAATCGCAAACGTCATCTTTCTACCGCACCAACTCTGGCAGTAGCACAGCGCAGCTAGGTACATAAGAAACATTCCTTCGTCCTGCGGTACCTTACGAGCGAATAAGGAAAGAAATAATCGAAGAAATGGAACGCGGAAGTTAGTTAGTTTTTAATTATTATGAACACGGATCAATGTCATGGTCGGTTTAAAATGAATGAAACTAAATCTATATACAGTCAATAAAACTCTGATGCACTCTGATATTAAAGTTATATGAATAGATAACTTCCTGGTATCTTCGGGGAAATTTTTAATTGTCCTCCTTTTGGTACAATGTGTCTTCCAGCGGGACACCGTAACATCCGTAAAAGTGGTAAATTCATGAAATTGGAGTTAGAGCTGCGCAGTTTTTAGCGGAAGCACTTATTGGTGAGTTTTAAGAAAAAATATGGGGTTTTGGTCCAAATATGTACCCTGGAGGGCTAAGGCTGGTCCATTAAAAGATCCGGAATATGCGTAAAAGTGGTCAATTAATTAAACTGTTTCTAGAGCTCCATTTTTTTTGGCAAGCACTTGTTGATGTGTTATCTCACTGAATTTGGCATTGAAGCAAAATTATGCACACAGGAGGCCACAAACAAGTTGTCCAGATGATCCGGATTATCCATAAAATGGTCAATCACGCTTGCTACAACGTATAAAAAATCCGTGAATGGGTGACTTCGGGAAAGTTTTCATATATTTTTTGGACAACTTTGCAGTGACCTTGGCCATCTGAACAACTTAGCAGTGAACAGTTATTTCTCAAAATGCCAAAATCTTGAGATATGATACATGCACAAGCTCTTACGTACACTAGCGCAGTGTACGTAAGAGCTTGTGCATGTATCATACACACTTACACACTAAGATGTTGTTTCCGTGTTCGTTAAATTTTACCGACATCAGAAAAGCTGAACGTTCTGCAAAACCTTGACTTTCATTTTAAAGGCTATTGAATTTGAAAATAATGTCAAAACTTTTTTCAACCTTGTTTAAATTATCAAATCTTGTCATTTTAGTGGAGATTTAGTTTCAAAGTAGCTGAAAAGCAATTGAATTGAATTGCATAAATTTTACCGAAAAGTTCAGCTGTTCAGATTTCGGTAAAAATTACCGAAGTCGGCGATAATTTATAAGAGTGTATTGTCCATCATTTGAAAGAACTTGGTTAGCTTAGCAGCTATGTAGAAGACTGTATTTTCCAAGTAAGTCAGGATCTTGTGATAAAGCACATATGCAATAGAGCCGCGTAACAAGAGCATTCGTAAAAAACCTGTTCTTCATGAAGAAGGCCTTGTCCACCGGGGAAAAAAACATTGTTGAGGACTGTATTTCCCATGAATGTCTGGTTCATGAGATATAAATGGCTCATAAAAAATCTCATATGTATACTTACGCCACCTAGTGACTGAACTCTGAACATGTCCACCATCGGAAAGATCTTAGTCACCTGAAAATGTTTGCCGAACACAGTAACTTCCTATATCGCCGGGATCACGGGGTATTCCATTTTGGAACCAATTAAATCAAATTTCCACATGATACGTGTATTAAATTTACGGGATTCACTCGTGTAATCGAAAAAAAAAACTCTAGAACAACGTACCGCGGACACTGTTGTGGCGACGGTGCGGCATCATGCCAAAAGATCATGTGGATGTAATGTGGCGTAAGGCAAACCACGACAAGCTTTTCTACCATGCTAGCAGATGCCACTCCGCCGCCATATCAGAAACTAATTTGACTAAAATCATGTTGACGTTCGCCACATGCAATGTTTCAGCATAATGTTTTGACACGCCACATCGCCGCCACAGTAGTGGGGCAGTGGGTGTCTGACATTAATCGAGGTTGCATGCATGTTTTGTGGAATGAGAGGCCACATCACCACAACAGTGGACGACGCCTTAACATCCCGACCAATAAAGAAAATCCAGTCAAGAACATCAGGGGTACTAGGGATTATGTTTTGTTGGAAATCCTCTGAAAAAGTTTTCAGGAATATAGTATTTCAATGGATTTACAATGGCTAGGATATAAAGGGTGATACGGTCAAAATTTGGTCAAGGGAAAACGCGTGTAAATCGGTGAAATCGTTTATTTAAAAAATCAAATTAAATTTCTTTTTTAAGTTCAATTAGTATAAAATTCAGGAAAAATATTCAGTTAGGCTTCCGCTTTTCCAAATCCGAATTGCCGGGCCTTACGCTTGACCCCTGCCATCAGATTTTGTACAGCCACCTTGTCCACCTTCTTCGCCGCAGAAAGCCAGTTTGCCTTGAACTGCTGCTCGCCCTTAGCAGTTTTTTTTGGTCTTCTTTAGGTTCCGCTTGACAATAGCCCAGTATTTCTCAATTGGGCGGAGCTCTGGCGTGTTGGGAGGGTTCTTGTCCTTGGGAACCACCTGCACGTTGTTGGCGGCGTACCACTCCATGGCCTTTTTACCGTAATGGCAAGATGCCAAATCCGGCCAAAACAGTACGGAACAACCGTGTTTCTTCAGGAAAGGCAGCAGACGTTTATTCAAATCCAAGGCGAACCAGCCAATGACTAAAAGCCTTGTAAATAAAGGAAAAAAAAAAAAAAAAAAAAAGTTTATTCAAACACTCTTTCACGTAAATTTCTTGGTTGACAGTCCCGGAAGCTATGAAAATGCTGCTTTTCAAGCCACAGGTACAGATGGCTTGCCAAACCAGATATTTCTTTGCGAACTTTGACAGTTTCATGTGCTTGAAAACATCTGCTACCTTTCCCCTTCCTTTTGCCGTATAAAACTCCTGTCCCGGAAGCTGCTTGTAGTCGGCTTTGACGTAGGTTTCGTCGTCCATTACCACGCAGTCAAACTTCGTCAGCATCGTCGTGTACAGCCTCCGGGATCGCGCTTTGGCCGTCGTATTTTGTTTATCATCGCGATTTGGAGTCACTACCTACACACGGTTGTAGACGATACACCCAGCTTATTTGCGGCATCTCGGAGAGAGAGGTTAGGGTTTCACTTGAAACTACCGGCAACTCTCTTTGTCGTCTCAGCGGCTTCCGGTTTTCGATTTCCCCCCGATCCAGACTTCCTGGCTGTCGACAAACGTTCCCCAAACACTTTAATTACATTTGTAACGGTTGATTTGGCAACTTTTAGCGATTTTGCCAACTTTGCGTGCGAGTAGCTCGGATTTTCGCGATGCGCGAGCAAAATTTTGATACGCTGCTCTTCTTGCTTGGACGGCATTTTGACAACTGAAGAGTGAATTCCAAAATCAAAATAGGAGCAACATTCTACACACACACACCTTCAAAATGAGGGGTGTTCAGGTTTTTTAAATGCAAAATTGAAAGAAATACGTCAAGTTGATATTGACCAAATTTTGACCGTATCACCCTTTATACGCAAAATTAGGAACCTGGCAATACAAAATCTCCCCCTATAACCCACGTAATTAGGTTTTGCACCGTCGGGATTAACCTCAATCTGATGACAGTTTAGTGGTACTGTTTACGTGGACTTAGTCGTTTTTTTCATGGGTAGATTTTCTCGATAATTTTTCAGACTGCAGTGAGATGTAAACCACACTTCTGCATTGTCCACGAGCAACATCCTTTCATCGCGCTGTTCCTCGACAATTTTCAAGTTAAAGTTCGGTAATTTTAGAATATTTAATTTCGAAAAAACGACTAAGTGCTTGTAAACAGTACACTGAACCAAAACATCTGCAATACTTCGAATAATTATTGCATTGCTCGAGCCCTTTAACAATATGCATTCGAATTTCGGATGAATTTCTTATGGTTGAATGTGTCGTCAGATGATGAACAGCCATATGACTGTCATCCAAATACAGGATGATTTTCGTTTGAAAATCAGCTATAAAACATACGGCACTCAGAGGACAAACATTTAAGAATAGTATGACATGCAAGTGCTTTTAAATAGATTTATAATTTGATTATCTACATTTCTATACTGAATACCAATAATAAGCCATTCCATTATAGATACATAATTTTTCCGTGCTGAAGGAAACCTCCTCCACCACGAATTAGTCAAACATTGGTTGTCATGCTTTACCTATGTTCGACACATCTCTGATAGCGATACATATGCTTCCACCTCGGTTGTCAGCTCAGATCAGCAAATGACATTCGATAGAATTATTTACATCATCGTTTTGAATGATTTGCGTTATGGGGCTGAACCAATACCATATGCATTTCCATTTAGTATGACAGTCATTCTGCAGAGAGCATTACGCATTTCAACTGAAGGCCCTATCCCTTCTCATAACAATTTTCATCCTGTTTTCTAGAGGAAAATCATCTGATTTCAAAACAACCGTCATCCGTTGCAGGTATCATGCGAAAAAGCGATTTCGATGATTTGTTTTGAATGGTCTGAGGTTTCATTCGATCAGAGGATGATGTTTGTGTACAGTGTACCACTGAACTGTCAAAAAGGTTCAGCCTATTAACACTGAGTTCATTCGTGACGTCACGCTGCAGAACCTAATTCGATGTGAAAAGTTAAGGTGAATTCAGATCTCCCTCTCGTACCTTCGCAAAATCTATCTCCGCTCGTGAAATATCGCTCAGATCTGAATACACCTTTAATGTTCACTTTATGCAACAGCTTTTGACCATCCATATTCAGTGTCATTACATGTTGCTGAATATGAACCATTCGCCAATGTTATACCAACAATCAATACGAAACTAACGATTTTAAATTGGCTCACCACTTTAGTAGCCTATTGGTCCCAAGCAAACGATTAACGTACCCTATTCTAGTTGAAATTCTATTACTACACTATGTTTGTTTTGATTCGCTATGAAAGTTTGACAGATAACATCAGGGGTGTGTGGATTCATGCAGAACATGCAGGGGTGAGTGAAATAGCTTGGGACTGCTTGGGACCGTTGTTCTGGTACTGAGTGAGCCAAAAATAATAATGATTTTCTTCGGGACCCAGTGGTCTTAGAGTTACCTCTATGGTTATACTGCGATACGCAGATGTATCATGAACAGAAACTAACGCACACAATCCATGCCGAATGGTACACACGAATATAAAGATTCTTTCAATGATACCGTCAGTAGTAAATGGTTTGTGTGAACGTATTTGATCATCGATGCAGCAAGATTTATTTTTCTCTGTTTCTTTATGTGCCATGATTCGTCGTCTCTAATGGGATTTCGGATGGACCAGGAGAAAGAAACGCGAACTACTTTTTAGGTTACAAATAACAACGTGTGTATTCTGCGAGAAAAGTGTTTGGAATGAGAAAAGCAAAAGTAAACAAAGTGACGTTTTTCCTCTACGCAGTGCCGTAGTTTGGTGGGGGCAAACCGAGCAGTGGTTGCCATCCCAACACCCCTGCTCAACCACAGCAAGGTCCAATACCTAGCTACGATCGCAGCTTCTTGAAGGATGCCGAAGGTAGGGCCTTCGTCATAATGTCCGCCTGCTGGTCCGATGAGCAAACGAACTCCACTGTAATCACCGCTTGTTGAATGAGCTCCCTCAAGAAGTGATACTTGGTATCCACATGTTTCAGGCGTCCATGGTCTCTTGCATCCTCAGCAATTCTGATGGTTGATTGGTTATCTTCCAGAATCGTTATAGGACCCTTGGGCTCGTACCCGAGATCCAGAAGAAGTCGTTTCATCCACAGCGTATGACATGCAGCCGTCACCAGCGCCGCGAGTTCCGCCTCGGTAAATGACAACGACACCGTGTGCTGTTTTCTTGTCGTCCAACTGACTGTGCATCCCGAAACCTTGAAAATACAGCCTGTGACTGATCGCCGATCGATGAGGTCATTTGCCCAGTCCGCATCCGAGAAAACCTGCAACAGCTCCTCTTCCGTCTCCGCTTTGTACAACAGTCCGTAGTCCAGCGTCCCCTTCACATATCTGAGAACCCGTTTGAGGTGCACCCAGTGTTCCTCATTCGGGCAGGCCTGGAACTGGCTATAGTAGTTCACGGCAGCAGACAAGTCAGGCCGAGCCGTGAGCGAAGCATACATCAAACACCCTACCAGCTCTCGATAGGGTTTATCTGTCCTCCGCTCCTCTACCCCTTTCTCCAACCGCAGGCGATTCTCCATGGGAGTCGAAATCGATTTGCACTCCATCATGTCGAAGCGGCGAAGCAAGCTCTCAAGATACCCTGTCTGGCTGATCTTCATGGTTCCAGCTTCAACGTTCCTCTTGATCGTCATCCCGAGAAACTGCCTCACCTCACCAGCATCAGTCATCTCAAATTCTTCGCTGAACTTCCGTTTAATTGCCTTCACGGTCTGCAACGACGCTCCGACGATCAAAACATCATCGACGTACACTATGACGATGATCCTTTCTCGTCCCTCGCCCATGGTGTACAGGCACTGATCATTGGCGCTCTGCTTCAATCCCAGCTTCTCGGTGAACTCGTGAAACCTCTGATTCCAGGCACGGGACGCTTGCTTGAGCCCGTAAATGGAACGATTTAAACGGCAGACCAGATTCTTCCCCTGCTGAAATCCATCCGGCTGGGTCATGAAGATATCCTCACTAAGCGTGCCATTCAAAAACGCCGTCCGCACATCCATCTGGTGAACATGCAAACGGTCACGATTCGCCAACGCCAGAACCGTCCGAAGGGTGTCCAATTTCGCCACCGGAGAGTAGGTTTCCGTATAGTCGAAGCCTTGCCTTTGACTGAAGCCACGGGCCACCAGTCTTGCCTTATACCGGTCAGGTACATCGCCATCCCCGCGCTTAATACGAAACACCCACTTACAGGACACAGCCTTCCTACCAGCGGGAAGCTCTGTCAATGTCCACGTGTTGTTCCGCCGCAGCGAATCCATTTCCTCTTCTATGGCTAATCTCCAGTTGTCCCAATCGTCACGCCGTTTCAGCTCAGCAATCGAACCCGGAATGTTGTCGACGTAACTCATTGCGTTTAAGGCGAATCCAGCGTACTCAAACTCAAAGTCTCTATGCCATGCCGGTGGAGCACGATCTCGTTGCGGTCTACCATCCTCCAGGTTAACATTCGCTGTTTCATCCCCGGATTCACTGGATTCACCGGAAGATTCTTCAGACAAGCTTTCATACTCTTCCTCAGACGATTAAACTTTTTCCGCGGCACCGAAATGTCCTGGGCCCATAACCTAATGGGATTTCGGATGGACCAGGAGAAAGAAATGCGAACTACTTTTTAGGTTACAAATAACAACGTGTGTATTCTGCGAGAAAAGTGTTTGGAATGAGAAAAGCAAAAGTTAACAAAGTGACGTTTTTCCTCTACGCAGTGCCGTAGTTTGGTGGGGGCAAACCGAGCAGTGGTTGCCATCCCAACAGTCTCGCCGATACAAGGAAATCAGTTTAGTTTACTGACACACGGGGGTCCAACGGTTGCGGAAATACACGTGAATTATTCAGTGAACAGTGAAAACTTCAAACACTGCAAAAATGAGAACGCATCTTTGAATTTTCTTACAAAACATCTAATCCCTCCTGTACCGGCAGCTACCCCGTCCCACTCGATTCAAACGCCAAGTCCGTTAACATCTGCGCTATCCTCACGTGATCCATGTTGTCGATAATGGTCACATTTCCCTGGCCTTGGTTCATATGATCCAGCACCAGTTGACCACGTGTCAACCACCCGTACAGTTCCACGTCGGCCCGGTAGCGCTTCGTTTCGGTCACAATTTCCGGATTGGTGTACGCCATCGCCACAAGCAAATCGCACGGCATCCAGTTGTCATCTGCGCCCAACGGTTTCTTCTCCACCGGATTCAACATCTGCAGCACGGGATGGCTGCCACTGCCCAAAAATTCGAATCGCCATGTCTGATTCGCCACCAGGTTCTCCCGGGAAGCCGTCTCCCAAGGAAGGACCGTAATGTGGCCGCCAAAATTGTTTATTACAATGTGCGCCGCCTCCGGATCGCTGTAAAAATTAAACTCGGCAGCTTTTTCGGTATTGCCGACCCCGTGCCGGTTGCCACCCATGATGAACAGATCCCGAATATGGTGACGCGTTTCCGGGAACACCTTGAACAGCAGTGCCAGGTTCGTAAGGGGTCCCAGCTGGATGAATGTGAGTTCGTGGGGATATCGTTCGATCAGCTTGTTCAGATCGTTGAAGACTGAGGATTGCCGAAGTAGGGCTACGTCCGGTTCCGGGAGATCGGGGAACTCGATATCGGAGAAGCCATCTGAGCCGAAGTATCCTCCGTTGGGATTGGCCACCGGTTCTGGAGTAATCAGTCGCTCGTTGGAACCCAGGTAAACTGGAATCTTGTGAAATGTGTGTTTGATTGATGGAGAGATTTTCCAATATCCAAGTCTTACATACCTCCCTCTCCTTGCCTAGTGCGGTCAATAACCTCAGGACATTCCGCCCGACATTGGTCACATTGGTATTGCCTTTGACACAGCTGATCGCCTCAACCCGTACACCGGGGCTACTAAGCAGGTGATACAAAGCCCACACGTCGTCTGGTCCGGCGTCTACATCGACCACTACGCGTCTAACAGCAGCTTCCACTAATGGTTCGCCTGAGCAAATTGATAAGAGCGCGATTTATTAGTATCGTTCGATCAGGTGATGATGGTGTTAAATACCTCTCGCCGTTGATCTGGTGGCCCCTATAATATACACGCCAAACACTACCGTCAATAGCAATACTATTAGTGCGATTCTCGCCATTGTGCTACACCGGTTCTTGGAACCGAAATCCATGCACAAAGAAAAGAAAGCTATTTCGAACGTTCACTCAACGGCGGACATAGCTATAATGGCTCATTGCTCAATTTAAACCCTCTCCGCAGCTGCTTTCTTAGTATGAATATGTCATTTATAGCGATCGCCAAAGGCTGAAAATGTGATGGACGCGAGGATGGCGCTTTTTCGCTATTTGCTTAGCTCATTGCGAATTCACCTACCTGTCTGTGGGCTGAGATATCGTGTCAGTATGTATATTTACAGTTGATATGGCTTTGCTCTCTGTGTAGTAGGGCAACGATTGATGTGTATTGCTCTGCAATACCGGGATTTTCTCGGATACGTGTCGTTCTATGTATGTATATGTAGCCATGAAGATGAATAGCAATCGACTTGAAAGATACATATGTCTAAATTTAGCTGATTGTGACTGAAAATAAAGGATAGTCTAAATCTATTATCGGACATTATTTCTTCTTATCTTCACATACAAGAAAACATTGGCAATCAGTCGGACTTTCCGTTGGAAGATAGCCTACAGCTCAATAAGCTTTGTTTAAGATGATAATTGGTTTCGTCTGAATATGTCAATATCGTCCCCTTAAATGCTTTTTCAGGTCATGGACATTTATAAGAAAGGAATTGGGTGTTGAGTGTTGGAGTGTTATGTCACAGACAAATAGACGTAACTCTTTCTCCCCAATCGTCGTACACGCATTTAATGTTCAATTTAAATATTAGAGTCTGGTGGGGCAAGAGTGCCACCTTTAACAATATTCTACGTTATATATGCCAAATAGTGGATATTTATAAGAGTTTGTATACCGGATTGTAAATTCATGACATTGTCTTCATAAATCAGCAATGTAATGCAAATTATATCTCGTCAAAGTGCCAAGAATAGACGTGTTTTTCTTTGGTTCTCCAAGTGATCGAGTTGGAGATGTGGACGGAGATGCCAAAAGATTAATTAACAAGTTCCCTATGTCTGGCGTCGAATGTATGGCCCAACCTACACTAAGTAACTTAGGTTATGGGATCCCGGTTGTGGCTCTGAGGGCGGCCGTTGCGAAAAATCCAGACATGTTCCGTTCTGTTTTTCAGACCTGTCTGGACGTAGGCATCTTCCCAGATGTGTGGAAGCGGCAGAGGCTGGTGCTGCTCCCGAAGCCAGGAAAACCACGCGGGGACCTGTCAGCATACAGGCCCATTTGTTTGCTGGACACCAGTGGTAAACTGCTTGAGAGGGTCATCCTCACCAGGTTGTCGGCTTACACTGAAGGTGTAGACGGCCTGTCAAGTAGCTAGTACGGGTTCCGTAAAGGCAGATCTACGGTGGAAGCCATCCGCGACGTCATCCACACGGCAGAGGTGGTCCACTGGAAACGAAGGGGTATTCGTTACTGCGCGGTGGTAACCCTAGACGTGAAGAACGCGTTCAACAGCGCGTGCTGGGGGCGATAGCCCGCTCGCTACACCAACTCCGAATTCCCGGAGGGCTGTACAAGATTCTGGAAAGCTGCTTCCAGAATCGAGTGTTGAAGTACGACACAGAAGATGGCGAAAAATGCGTTAGAGTCCCCGCAGGAGTGCCACAAGGCTCCATCCTGGGGCCGGTGTTATGGAACGTCATGTACGATGGAGTGTTGAGGATAAGATTCCCAGTAGGCGTGAAAATTGTAGGTTTTGCCGACGATGTCACGCTGGTAGTCTACGGGGAATCCCTCGAGGAGGTAGAGCTGACAGCGGCTCACTCCGTCAAGCTTGTGGAGGAATGGATGAGATCCAGGAAACTGGAGCTTACCCATCACAAGACGGAAGTGGTCGTAGTCAACAATCGCATGTCGGTGCAGCATGCGACGTTGACAGTCGGCGAGAGCACAATAAGGTCTGTGCGCTCTCTGAAACTCTTGGGGGTTATGCTCGATGGTAAGCTCAGCTTCGGCTGCCACGTCAAGTACGCCTGCAAGAGAGCGTCTATGGCTGTGGGGGCATTATCCCGTATGATGTCAAACAGCTCGGCAGTGAATGCCAGTAAGCGCAGGCTCCTCGCTGGGGTCGTAGTATCTATCCTCAGATACGGCGGCCCTGCGTGGGCTGCGGTACTGGATATTGACTGTCACAGGCGGAAATTAGAGAGTACACACAGGCTAATGGGTTCGAGGGGTGCGCAACAACGCGCGAGCGGTGTCGATTGCGAGATGGCAGTCGGAGTGGGGAAACTCCACGAAGGGGAGGTGGACCTACCGCTTGATACCTTCCGAATCAAGCTGGGTCAACAGGCGCCACGGGGAAGTAAACTTCTACCTGACACAGTTCCTGTCAGGTCATGGCTGCTTTAGGAGTTACTTGCATAGGTTCCGACATGCAAGTACTCCCACCTGCCCCGTGTGTGCTGGCATCGAAGAGACGGTCGAACGTTATGTTCGCCTGTCCACGCTTCGAGTCAGTATCGAGCGATATGCGGAGCGGATACCAGTCCGGATAACATCGTCTCTACGATGTGTGGTATCACCGAGAACTGGAGCGCGGTGGTGACTGCGGTCACCCACATAGTTTCGGAACTACAACGACAGTGACGTGCAGTTGCCTACTGCCCGACTAGATCGATAGAGTATTGCTAGAGAAGCGCCATAGCGCTATAGCGGCCCCTCCCACGAAGTAATGCCTTCGGGCGGTTCCGGGGAGGCCAAGGGCCAAGCGCACAGGGTAAGGTTTAGTGGGTCGAGAGTGAAATTCTCCCATCCCCACGCCCTGAGTTCTTTCTCAGGTGTCTGTGAGCAGATTCCCCTCTGTATAAAAAAAGTCACTGAGCAGCCTAGTTACTACATTCGACGAGATTGTGGCTAATTTATCTTATCCTGGAGAAACTGGACAAGGACACACGAGCCAGTTTGTCTCAAGAAGTAGTGAAAATTGAGAATCCGACATTCGAAGAACTGCTGGCGTTTCTAATACCCCGTACAGACTATGGCCAACAATCAATACGAAACTAACGATTTTAAATTGGCTCACTACTCGACTAGTCTATTGGTCCCAAGCAAACGATTAACGTACCCCATTCTAGTCGAAATTCTAGTACTACTCTATGTTTGTTTTGATTCTCTATGAAAGTTTGACAGATAAAATGAGGGGTTATTGGTTTTTCCTATGTTTCAAGGGGTGACTCGATTAGCTTGAGACCGAAGTGAGTACCAGAGCTGAGCCAAAAAGTTGAACACGTTATTTCGGGACCTTCTAGTCTTAGAGTTACATCTATGGATACATCATCTGTGTATGCCACCCCAAGGTCGGGACCGAGTTGTCGCTCTAGCTGTTGCAGGATTGGGTGAAGGTAGATGACGAAAAGTAGCATCGATAACGGGTCTCCCTGTCGCATCGACCGTTGGATGGGAAAATGCTGCGAAAGATGTCCATTTACAAGCAGCCGAGATGAGGATTGTTCGGCAATTCGTGCCAGTAAGCCGACAAAAGCTGGGTTTATTCCCAGCTGCCGCATGGTTTCGTGAAGGAAGGAAAGAGATACCCGATCAAAAGCGTGATCGAGATCGTAGCTTATCAGTTTCCCTTTTCGTTTCCTCGCTATCAGCTGTGCAATACGATCTTTCAGAGAAAGAGTGGCTTCGAAGATTGAGTGCCCTTCGTTTGAACACTTTTGTGCATCACTCAATACGCGGTGAGTCTTCATCACGACCTCGAGACGTGCTTTCAAGATTCTGCCGAGAATTTTAAAGTCCGCATTCAGAAGGCTGATCGGGCGGTATCCTCGAGCGGTATTTGCCGTTCCTCTCTTTCGTACCAGCACGATAGCTCCGTTGGCGAATTCAGAGGGAAACCATAGAGACTAAAAGGTCCCGAAGAAACGTGCTCAACTTTTTGGCTCAGCTCTGGTACTCTCTTCGGTCCCAAGCTAATCGATTCACCCCTCGAAACATAGAAAAATCCACTAACCCCTCATTTTATCTGTCAAACTTTCATAGCGAATCAAAACGAACATAGTGTAGTACTAGAATGGGGTACGTTAATCGTTTGCTAGGGACCAATAGGCTAGTCAAGCAGTTAGCCAATTTAAAATCGTTAGTTTCGTATTGATTGTTGGGGAAACTCCGTTGTCATAGCATCGTTTAATAGAAGGTTCAGCTCTCGGTGGATGACGTCGAATGTACGTTGGTAGAATTCGACGGGTAAAGGTGTATTCAGATCTGAGCGTACATTAGCGGAGCGGAGCAAAATTTGCGTTGGAATGAGAGAGACAACTAGTACTTTTCTCCCTCTTGTACCTTCGCAAAATCTCTCACCGCGCGTGATCTGAATACACCTTAACCCATCGCTTCCCGCAGCCTTTCTTTTAGCTGATGTACGAATAGATGACAAAATCTCTGATGTTGTTATCTCAGCCATGCAAGAGTCGTTGCTCTCGTCGTTTTCGGGTACCACTCTCTCACATTGGAAGGAGTGCTGTGCTTCCTCATTTTCCTCTGTCGCAGTGTCTAGCTCTCTGAAGTATCGTAGCAGATGGGTTTCGATTGCTTCGGAAGTGTTTAGAACTTCGTTGTTTTCGCCACACAGCTCTGTGATGACGGTTTTTTTCCTTCGTCTTTCTCCCAGCTGGAAGGTACTTATGCTTTCACCTGCAATAAACGTGTTGTTGATACGCATAAAGTTCTGCGAGAAAGTGCGCTGGTGAGCAAGCATTTTTGCTTTCACGCGATTGATGGTGACTATCATCGCTGGATTAAGGAAATATCCATCATACGCTTGCTGAAGCTGTACATACAGCCGTTGGTGTTGTGCATGACACTCACTGTATGCCTCGTGAGATTTCCATCGAAAAAAGGACTGGATTTTCGGTTTAGCGTAGGATAACCACCACGTGATCTAGTTCGGAAAATTTCGTCTTTGTCGGGTCACATATTACCATCTGATCTGGAATTCGTCAACGTTCTCTGCTGTCAGAAGATGGGGACGTAATGACCAATAACCGCGACCAGGTTTGCGGCCGAGGCTGGGGAGAGATATTCACGAAGTAAGCGCTTTGTGTGGTGGACTGCAGAGCAGGGCTGTT